GAGGGTAGCTGTTCAGCAGCGAGAATCACAGATTCGTGATTGAGAAGTCGTTCGTGAAGCTCCACAAACGAGATTGGCAGATCTCGGGCATTTACGGCATCTTTGACAGCACGGTATTCATCACTGAGGCCGGCAAGGACAAGATCGATTAGATCTTCATGATCTAATGGCTTTCCGAGGAGAGCTAGCTCATCTCCCTTTGTCTTGAAGAAGTGCATGAACTCATCGATTGATTTGCCGCCTTTGGAGAATCGTTTCATTTGATCCTTGAGTTGCTTGATATGTCCCCGACTGGATCTGCCGTATGTGGACGCTAGTATTGTCCATGCTTCACTTGTGGTTGTCGCCCTTGTAATGAGAGCTTGACAGGAGACGGAGATCAAGCCGAGAAGGGCTGAAAATAGCAGCTTGTCTTGACGAAACCAAGACGTGTACGCCGGGTTGGGGTTGATCACGTTGTCGACGGTGACCGTCGGCGAGACAGTGCTGTTGGCGTCTAGGAATGATTCAAGGTTGTATCCTTGAAAGAGTGATCGAACTTGGAGGCTCCAGGTGATGTAGTTGGCAGCGGAAAGTTTGGAGACGTTCGTCACGTTGATATTGATCAACGAAGACGCCGTGTTGTCGGGATCGGTTGCTGTCGGAGCAGCAGGGTGAATGCCAGCGGAGGATGTGCCGTCGGAGGACATGTCCGATTAAGTTCTCTTGGAAATATGGGTTTTGGAAAGAAAAAAAAATAGGAGGGTTGTCGTTAAACCGAGGCGTCTGATACCATGAACGACAGATTGGGAAAATAGTTTTCTATCTATTGCATTATGTGATTTACAAAACATATATACACGCATGAGGAGATAATTGAAGAAACAAATACAGCAAAGAATCAGGGATTGATACTAAAAATAATAACAATATTATTTCCTTCCTTTATCGAGTTCGATTTCAGGCCTATATAAGTCTGGTTCTAATCGAGGTGATAGTGATGCATTCGTTGTCATCTCATCTATCAAACTTCATGAATAAAATGCTCCCTCCCTTCACTCGGGACGAACGCACTGTTCGATCCGAACTCGTAAAATTCTCGAGCCGGTTATGGTTTCTTACTCTGTTTTCTTTTTATACAAATTGTAAGCGATCGGAAACTTCAATCTCGGACGGCATTCGATTGTCAAGTTTGTGATATGGTAACGTGTTTTTGTTGATCGACTCTCGTTATTTTAAAGGAATGTGATCAATCAACATAATATTTGGTTGGTAATTTCGGATATAGTTCCCGTTTAACGTTGTGAAAATATTCTCCACCTATATATAGAACCATAAATTTATTTGCCCAACTTCTCTTGCAATAAGGTTCAAAATAGCATCAACACCCGATTTCCCTAAACTTATTTTAAAAACTCATTTGTTTCGCAGACTTGCACATTAGTGGGAAATTATCCATGAAATTAAATTTTGTTTTTGTGATTATTTATTCTGATGACATATCACAAGGTCTGCGACCAAAAAAACAGTTTTAGGTTAAGCAAATAATTTATGACCAATTTACGAATAAATGTAATTTTCATATGGTCTGTCACAATTGATTTTTTTTATGATATTTTGGAGATATCCATTCTTGCAGATGTACATGCATGTGGTTGGTTCCATCAACCTCCTAATTAACCACACGTGAAGGTATTTTGTTGATCATCAATTGCATGCATTTAACCATGGTTTAGGATCTGTAGAAGGTGACACAATACTTCGAGATTACACTTATATACACATTTATATATTTATATATTATATATAAAAGAACGTAGAAAAATGCGCTCTTAATTAGAAACATTTATATGCAACGCAGTTAATTATGGTAGTTGACAAATAAAACATAGCCTAAAAAAACATTATACGCTTTCTAGTTTCCGTAACCACCACCAACGTTAGTTGCGGCGTCGGAAGGGGAAAAGGCGAGGAGCATAAGAGCCGCCATGATTCCAACGGGGAAGAAGAGAAGCATCAACGGCGGCGGGGGCAACGGCGGCAGCATCAACGGCAGGAGCAGCATTGACGTAGCTAGGACTGCAAGCAGCAGAACAAAACCCATGTCTGATTATTATCAGATGTCTATATTCTTAGAAGTATAGCAGCAATAGCTTGACGAGGAAGAGGTGGTTTGTTCAAGTGTTCCAGTGTGTGTTGGGTTTATATAGGACTTTGTTTAATCTGAGCCGTTGGATTAAAAAAAAAAATCTTTGTGGGATTTGGTTAATGAAACAGTGTTTGGGGACTTGTGTCGGAATCAGACCGAATCACGCCTTCAGATCCCAATATATTTCCTTTCTGATTCTCTTGTTTTTTTTTTTTAATTTGTTTTGTCCGTAAATTGTGCTTTAAAAACATATGTTTTGTTGGGATTATTCATTATATGTCCTAATTTTGAAGAAAAAAAGTTTAGTTTTGTTTGGATTATTATTTTTAAGAGATATTCGTTTTTGGTTTTTTTGAACTATTCGATTTTTCTGTCAATTTTTATATTGATTCGGTGTTCATTTAGATTCGATATAAATCAATTATTCATTAAAAAGGTATTTAATTTCTAACGGATTTTTTATTTGATTTTTAATGTATTTGTATATTCAATTCAATTTAATACGATCTGAAATGTCCGGTCCTATATGTTTTGTAGACATCCCTTTTTATACCAAAAATAGAATAACCCTTAAACTATATCGAATTATTTCTAAACAAATTCGTTCCATAATTGCAACTCCATAATTCGAAGTATTTATGCGTTTTGGAAATATGCCTTTTATGTTGATTAAATAAAATGGTAATTAGTGATTCTAATTCGAATGTTTTGTGTTGAATGCGGTCTCGTTACTTGATAGTTTTGAGTTTATAATATTAATATTAATTATAAATATTTAGAATGCAGTGTCGAATTTCGGAAAATGAGAGTAGGGAACGTTAATTTCACTTAGGATTCGCATTTGTAGAAATGGGTGATTTATATTTTGTAAAATTTTATGAAAAGAGTATTTTGAATAGAAAAAAAAAATCGTGTTAGACAGAAATTCGTGTTTTCATTTGGCTTATTTCATCTTCATATTTTTCGATTTTTAAAGAATTATTGTTATATCTTGCTCGTTCTTTCTTTTGATTCAATTTTTACCAGAAGATATTTTTAAAAATAATTTTTTAATTATTTTAATATATTTTATAATCACTTTATTCTAGTTCAATTGATTTAATTTTAAAATACGATACCTGAATAGCCGATTTTTGTCTGGTTATATTGTTATTGATAATAAATACATGCCAAAAATGAGGAGATCCCCTCACTAATCAAATATAATAGAAATAATAATGGACCAACGTACTTTACAAATCACATCGCACACAATCTTTTTGCGTTTCGGCTCCCATCACAACGAGGAGATCCTGAGGGTAGCTTGTCAAAGCTGGTCCAAATCAAATAAAAACTTATTTCCCCACACATTTTTAAAAAATATATATATATATATATATACAAAGAGACTGTCACAGAGTCCAACAATGTTGGGAATTATTATATTATTATATAATAATTATATATATGCAGTAATGGGTCTGCGTTCAATGTACATGACAGCAATCAAACTTAAAAAAATGAGTTTGGCTCAATACACAATCATTCTTGATCTTGATTCGGTACGCTCATTGCCACATATTGAGATTATGCATGTGTTTCTTATTGTAAAGATTATGTAACAAAATATATACAAAAACATTCACATTTATTTGGTTTTGAATATATAAAATCGAACGGAATATGGTACAAAAATTAACTGTATATATATATATATATATTCGAATTCAATATAGTAACAACAAAACAAAAAGCGGAATAGAGAAGAAATTGTTTTTAGAAAAAAAAGGGAATGAAAAAGATAATGTTTTGAATAAAATTAACAATGGCTCGAAATTCAAAATATTTTTCTAAAATATAAAATTCAAAACTAAAAATAACGGAAACAGAACAACAGAGTGGGTGTATATTGTAACATCTATGTATGTGTCGTAACCATGGAAAAATTAGATAATGGGAATATCATATTATGGAAAAACTACAATATAAATAAATTTGGCATAATATGAAGATTTTATTCTTCTCGATGACGTCAACATCATATTAAACTCAATTGATTAATAGATTATTGTTTTTAAAAACACAGGTGACGGAGCATGTGCATGTCCAAGGCATTTTCAAAGTGTTTATAGGAAAATATAAGCGAGCTAAAAACACATCTATATATACGTACGGGATTATTAGAAGAGGTAGGTTTCTAGATTTTTTTTTTTTCAACTTTTAAAGTAATCTATTTTTGTACGTTTCAAAATAAATACTTTTTGCATTTTACTCTTTTTCTTATCCAAAATATTTTTTATTTTTTATCTTTTTAGATTTGTTTCAAGATATTTTCGATATCCAATTAATTAGGTTATCCGATTTCTATTTCCTACACTGTATTTGTTCAAGGTCTTGTTGCCCTTCTAGTTTTGGGTGTTGGGGTTTTTCCCAAAACCATCGTACAGAATCTTTATTTCATTTTTTTTACACATTTATAATAAATAAAATTATGCTTTTTTTTAATCTAAAAATAATGTTATTGGCAATGATGCACGGAACTTCGTGCAAGCTGGTCAAATTGACTGGTGATTTTATTTTTAATGAGATGCAATGCATCTGACCTATGTTTATATATATATATATATATATATGGAAAAAAATAAGATTTGGTAATGTGAAAACATTTACAAAATAGTTGTTTTTACGATATTCTCCCTATTTTTAGGGATTCAGAATTTCAAGGTGGATTTTTAACGTTATGAAATCCCGTTTGGCAGCGAGGTTTGCCAAGATCTCCTCCTTGTTCTTTCCTACCTGTTTCTACGCACAAAGGAGAATTTATATATATACATACATTAATATATATGTATATATATATAGCAAATTCGTGAGAGCTGAAACAATTTTCATTTACGAAACAATAAAGTATTTTCATTATTATACATTTTACATTTTTATTAATTAACAATGACTTTAGCATAAACTCCAAAAAAAAAATCCCAAAATGGTAGCCGTATTATAAATATAAAAAGGAATATTACAGTTAAAATACATTGTAGTTGTTTATAAATAAAAAAAAAAACGTTTTATCGTATTTAAACAGTAGTGCAACTACAACATTTTTGTACAAAACTTATGAATCGATAATCTCTTTACATGATTAATAATCCCAAGATTAACAAAGTAAAATCAAGAAGGGATATATACTTGTACGTATTTTGGCACAAGGCTTGTTCATTGGTGATGATATTTGTTCACCAACGCGTACATAGACATCATAATTTAATTTCCGAGAAAATTTTACAAATATTATGGCGGAAAATAATGAAAGAGACATCATAATTTAATTTTAGTTTTTTTTTCTTCCGTGGACTCGTCTATTTTTTTTTTAACAAATGAGCCTATCCATGTTGGAAGACATGGGCCTTATTGGGCATAGGCCTCTCTCCACAACAGTGTGTTAAGAGATTTTTGTGATTGGATTTCCACATTTAATTTAGGCCCGGCTGTAAGGGCGTTTTTGACTGTTATAAAAGTATTGGGGTCCTAATACTAAAATTTAAAAGTTTCTGTAAAAGGTTGGAAAGGGTTATCCAAAAATAGAAAAAAAAGACGGAAAATATTGATTATTATAAAGTGTAAAATACGTATTCTGCGTTTCAACACTGTAATTCATTTGTTTCCACATTCTGCTCTTTAATTTAAAAATTATATTGTTTGATCTATTTCTCTTTGCAATCTATTGATATTTAATTTTTATTAACAAAAACATCAATTGATAATATTTTTAATTGGGTGTTTTGTTTTATATTTATACTAATTTGTTTTAAAATAAGAGTAATAAAAATTTATGACAGTTGATTCGAATGTGGGAATCCGATTGAATAAATATAGTTAGAGTAAATAAAATATTTCTTATTTGAATTTGAATCGAAATAAATAAATTGTATTAAAACGCTGATGTGGGATTGGGCCCACTTGCTGGCCCATAGCCCACGTGACTTTTTGACTGTCCCACGTCCTCAGATCCGTTCTTAACGCCTTCGCCTTGCTTCTCCTCCCATCGAAAAAAGAAAAACAGTTACCAATTAAATTAAAATATTTAAAAAAAAACTTTGATTTCCCTCTTTGTTGTTCCTATTTGATCTCTCTTTGATCCTCTGGAGCCAAATTCACCAGGAACCCTAGATCTCACCTCAGCAGTTGGATCAGATCGACCGTTTCAATCTTAGGAGGCGGCAATGGTTGAGACAGAACCGCTGCTGTGTTTATCGAGCTCAGGCGTCAGCATTGTCCTCAGCTTGTAGCGTTTTTGGCTGTTTTGTTTCTTTCTCTAGATGGCCTTGAGATCCAAATTATTCTGGATTTAGGGCAAGGAGCTTAGGGATTTTGTTCTTTTAGTGATGAGTGATTTGGTGGCGCGTACGGGTCGGCTTCAGCAGCGGTACGAGGATGGTTGCCGCCTTGTTGCCGGGTAAGACGATGGTTTCACGTCCCGTTATTTGTTTTTCTATATGCGCATCACTTCATAAATATCTGTATGTATGTTTCTCCTGATTTTGTATGTAATGCTGAAAATTTTGGGGATGTTTGCGGTGTGAGATCATGCGAGCTGTGTTTTTTTTTGTGTCCAACTTAGATTCTTTATAGGCGTAATATGATTTCTCCGCGTTTGTTAGAAGTTTGATTGCTGAAGATGTTGGAGCGGTTGATCGTGATTTGTCTCTGGGATCATTGACGGGAATATTCTTGCTTTCGAAATTTCTTCTGGTCTGTTTGTGGTTTTGTAAATTCTGTGATTTGGTCGGTGAGAAAAAGAGTCCTGGTTCTGCTCAATTTGATAAAGGGAGAACGAGGAAACTAGTGGCAACATGGATGGCTATTTGTATTTGGGTTGTTGCTAGAATGAGGAATCAGGATTCATGATGCCTTAATATGCTTAGCTTGATGAAGAAATAGGGTTTTTCTATGTTTGATGCTTTGCTTGTAGAATTCTCGGGCTATGCTTTAGGGTTGTGTTAATCGAACGTCTCTAGTCAGGTGATAACTTTCAAAACATCCTTGGTGATCGCTGTGGATTTCTTTCCCACCGCGGTTTAAAATATTGTTGTATCAATGCTATTGTTTGAGTAAGAATCCTAGTAACATTAGTGATTTGCAATCGTGCATGGATTAAGCATTCCAAACATTATACGCTTTCTAGTTTCCGTAACCAGA